CGCAAAACCCGCAAACACGCAAAAAACGCACGCAGAAAACGCATAGTGTAGCCAGGCCTTAATACGTTGGCAGCGATTACTAAGAGCACCATATATACGTAAAGTACCTCTACCTCGGTAGTTCACTGTCACTGACCTAGGGTTCTGTTGATTCTGCGACCTTTCTATTATAGGTAAGTCAATGGGAGACAATTGAACTGCGCTTCATTTACCAACATAAAAATGAAAAAAATGACAAAAAATTAATTTTAGGTAGCGCAAAAGGCAAAAGCTCTTGCAGTCTTAACCCTCGCCCCGTTGGGGGGGGGGCATTTTGGCCCCCCCCCTGTGGTTTTTCCTGAATAGCAAGAAAACGGCGGCGCGCAGCGCCGCCAAATTTTCAGTACCTTCCCGGGCATCAATTTGACACCTTCACACCAAATTTCAAGTCTTAGGTCACCTTAGGTCAGGAGTTATTGAGGTCAAACTGAGGTCATGTTCGAGCAAAAATGAGCAAAAAACATGCAATCTTGAAACGCTCACCAAATCTACAGTTATCAAGCAATTTCAAAGTTCTTTATATGGTCTAGTAGACAAAAGGCGGCGCTACAAAACTGCTATCTCGGATTTTCAAAATTTTTGGTTTTTGACCCAAAAAAAATCAAAAACTTGATTTTTTTAGAAAAACTTTGAAAAAATCCAAAAATTTTCCGAATTTCGAAAAAACCGGAATATATGTGATAGTCCCAGCGCTCTTCTATATACATACCAAATTTCAGATCGATATCTCGTTTTTTGGCCAAGTTATAGCGAAAAAACTGTTCAAAAATGATGACGTCAAATTTTTGAACTCAATTTTTAGCAATTCTAGACCTCGTACGGCAAAACAAAGACCACCATTGAACTCCCCGTGACAAGCTGCATCGATTCGATACCCATTTTATGCAAAAATATTAACTTTGAAATTTGACCTAATTTGACCTGACCTTGACCTGACCTTGACCTGACCTTGACCAAAACGTGATCTAAGCTGGCCCCAAAGGCTGCCTGACCCATATAATCGCATTTGTCATGTAAAATGGACCATAAAACATGTATCACACGACACTTTCATATTGTGACCCCCCCGTGACCTGACCTCTGTGACCTGACCTGGTATCAGTGACCTCAAATAGCAAAATATGTGTTTGAAGAACATTTCCCCATCGATGATTTTCAATGAAATGCATTTTACTCGATTTTACAACGCATTTCTTGAAGTGCCTGTAAACGGTGAAAATTGGACCTTTGACCTGACCTGTGACGTCATCGGTTTGACCTAGGTCAATAAAATTGGGTCACAAGGTAGTTCCCCGTTGGGGCTATCCAACGCCGTTTACCGCTTGTCGCTATGTTGCGTGGTTCTCGAGATCTTAGGGGGGGGGCCAAAATGCCCCCCCCCAACCGGGCGCGTTGCTCGGTAGAGCCCAACGGGGCGCGGGTTAACACAAAAAGTACAATTATAAAACATTATCAGCGCCTGTAGTGATACTGTACCGCAACAACCATTATTTTCATCTTTCACCCATAGATGGCAGTAGCAGAGCGCCTGCATCTATGCTGTGCCGCAGTGCTTTTAAAATACGAACTGAGCATTGAGCAAGCGCGGTGTAATAGGTACGATTATGTGGTGGCCTGGACCGGTGACCGCGGCCAAGAAATGGTCACTCTAACCTGACTGAGTAGCGGTAAATCAGCATCTGATATTAAGTTATTATTACGAGACCATGTTTGGCCGGAATCGCGATTCGGCGTACGTCGGCGCACACTAGCCGCGCGTTTGCTGTCTTTTCGTGGTTTCAAGCGTTCAAACATGTGATATGATGCTGGTCACATGCAATATGGTGGGTGTCAAGGTCACGTGAAAATTAGGTCAAGGTCACTGACCTTTAATGACCTTGGTTCACCTTTTCGAGCTTTACATGTTTCTAAATTCTAGGACAGTTTATGGGGCTGATTTCGAATTTAGCCTTCAGTTTAACATTTAAGAAGTTATAGTTTCATTGCCTTCGTAACATGTTAGGACGCCATCAGCGGTGGTTGACACCTTCTATGAATAAGCGTCAGGACACCTACTGGCTGACCTGACCTGACCTGACCCGACCTGGCCTTAATGCATGAAAACATCAGCTGTGATCAAAACAAACATGACATTCCTGATAAATGACCCGTAGAACTCACAACAACCTCAATTTACGAAGTTGAACTAAACATATCAATAGTGTTTTCAGCGCTCTTGCATATCTCTACCAAAGGTCACTATCAAAATGTTGTGGAGGGCTGTCATGACCTGAAATAACCCCAGGACATAAGTAGAGGTCACAGGTGCAATTTCCCGATTAAATATGTCATGTTTCCCTGCTAACCGTGCCCCGTTATTTGAGTGCATTGTTTAGTATGTTAATATGAGTTTCGTGCAACAGAAGCGCAGTTAAATTGTCTCCCATTGACTTACCTATTATAGAAAGGTCGCAAAATCAACAGAACCCTAGTTCAGTGACAGTGAACTACCGAGGTAGAGGTACTTTACGTATATATGGTGCTCTTAGTAATCGCTGCCAACGTTTTAGACCGATTGTTCAGTCTGTGTAGCTATGACGGGCATTATAACTTTTCCTAAGGTAAGGGCACTTGGACGTAACCTGGTGACCTAGCCTTGGGTGACCTGGGTCTGAAAGTTATGCAGCATGTGTGAAAAAGATGCATGAAAGGGTGTGCTAAAAACGGCGGCGCTCCACAACGCCGTTTTCGAGATATTTACATAAACCTACATGGGGTGTCCAAGCACCCCCACCGCCCGGCGTGGATAATTTTTGCACGTGCAGAGCGCACCTTCGGGGTCCACCAGGAGATGGATATGCTCAATAACTATGCGGGAATACATGCTGGGTGGCCTGTGTAAATTTGGCACTTTGAGCTTGCTAGCGCTACCCGCTCTGCCCGTATATGTGACACAGAGTGCAACACCAAAAGGTCTGCACGTGCACAGCACGTGCACCGTGTACCCCAGCACATCTATTTGCACAGCGCCTTAAAGCGCTCGTCCAGTCGTGTCAGTGTGCCAAATTTGGTGTGCCTAGGTCAAGGTTTTCCGGAATCGGAGGATGCCTCCTCAATACATGTTTTTCGCCCCTGGCGCGTGCATTCCGCACCCCCTGCTGCCGAGCATACTATATGTTAATGGTCAAGCACCGGGACATATGACCTGTGAATTTGGCAGCTGTGCCGCCCACCGTTTAATTTGGAGCGTCGCTTAAAGGTTTTTGCCCTTCCTGACTTTGTCGGCACGTGGCGCGCGCCACGTGACACCGAATGACCTGTGACATGCATCATCACCTGCCTCATAGCATTACCCGTCGAACGGTACCACCAGCATCTCGATCCGATCATCCGTTTAGACGCAATTCCAATTGTATTGGCTCGATGACCTTTCAGAGCACGGGTTTTTGGCAACGTAAAATGGCGCCTTGTCGGCTTCACTATCTTCCATAGGAGGTCCATTGGGATCGTCAGTCCAGTTTATTTATACGTCCGTGCCTATACTGTAATTTGTTTACCTCGGCCGCCGAAAACACGTGTTTTTTTCCGACCGACTGCATTCGCCGACTCACGGCCCCAGATGACGTAATCAACAAATAATTGGCCAATAGAGATAATAAAAAATGATTGCTGGAACAATATAAGAAAAAAAAACAGGCAACACAATATAATTTTGTTATTTAATGATGTCAAAAATTCGTCTTACCGACCTTAGATGGGGACTTTTTACTCTATGACGTCATGTGTGCCAACAGTTTTCAAGAGGAAGTAAAACAGTGGAATAAGCCTACCTGTATTTGTAACTTGTTCGCCATTTCTGTCGACATTTGACTGATACCATATCCCAAACTCTGACTGTACCCGGTGTTCTATATACTCTGGATTTGTCGGTGATGCCTTGCTTACCACCTGGACCGACGGCAAGAGCACCGACTACCACGAATCGATGAATGCGCAACATTTCGAGGAATGGTTCTCCAGCCTCCTCCAGAACATCCCGGCTAACAGCGTTATCGTCATGGACAACGCCAGCTACCACAGCCGGATTAAAAACAAGACCCCGACGACCAGTAGCAAGAAAGGAGAGATCCAGGCATGGCTGGAAGAAAATGGCATTTCATATTGTAACGCTGGTGCGTTTCATTTTCCCTCCCCAAACCAACCCGTTCCCAAATTCATCCTTCATAACAGCAGCGCGCCGGTGACCGGACACCGCTGACCCGCCGACCATCTGGCCGACACCGGACGGCAGGACAAACACGGATCTGAGACTGCGCCGCTAAACGCCATTATCCTGCGAGTGCGGCCCTTACAGAGCCGTCTCACCGCCGCTGACCGTGGAAGGGTCCAGCAATGGGTCCCAACCCCGGTCAGGGGGGGGGGGACGGACGAACAGAGGCACGCAGCCTCCCACGCGCGGCGACCGGACACCGTCAGCCTGGGAACCGGGACACAAACAACGCCGCTGCGGCAGCGGGAGGCCGGGGCGCCCGGGACCAAATTGACCACCGGTATCACACTTCAAAGGCAATTTCTTCAAAACACGGCTCGAAATAGCACATTTCCAGGATGTGCCGAGACTGGCGCCGACAATCAGCATCGTGAAACTGGGACAGCCGACGGAGTAACAATATCCAAATTCCAGCATGGCACGGCACATCCGCATTCCCGGGCCCATCTTCCCACGCTGGCAAACCTGGCCGGCGTGGCAAATCTGCCGGCATCGCCAGGGGCAGAAGATTCAAATTCACCTATCGGCGCCAGAATATTTGAAGGGAGGAGGAGCACCCAGAGAGCCCAGTCACCATGGAAACGGCACGCCGGAGGCTGCACAGCGGAAAAACGCATACGTTTCGGCCCAACATAACGTTAAATTTAATAGAAATCTCACCCTTTCGGCAACCAGGCTCAGCAGAAAATACAGAAGACTGGTTAGACCATAGAAATAAAGACTAGAAGGGACAGCTGCCTCTGCGGCATACGTGAACTGCGCCGCCATTGAACCACAGTCAAGGACTGTGGTTGTTTACATGGGACCCTATGGCGGAATCGTGTAGTTGGGTGCTTTCGTGCTCTATTACATGAAATTAAAGGGGTGCAGGGAGATTTCGGATAGAGTCCCATGAACAAAATTCATCAGAGAAAACGTTGAAACTCATTTTGGGTGAGTGATTGACTGTTTTCTATGATATTCTGGAGGTTAAATATGAGGAACTCCACGCAGACGTGACTTGAAACAGTTGTGCTATCGATGGGCATGTTATTAGTATCATGTACTGACAGAAATTCAACCTTTGTGTTCTTTACATTCTAGTTTACTTCAAAAATAGTCATTTTATTCATTTATTAAATTATTTTGTGTCACGCTTATTGTCTGAACGACTTGCTCTCAGCTCAGTCTCAAGCAGTTATATTTCTGGCTTTATATGCACCCATGGCTAGAAAGTTTGATGAAATACCAAGTAAATAAAATTAAAAAGAGCACGTTTTATACTTGAACTGCTCTTAAGTGCTTAAACCTACCTTTGTTATGTCTGCAACTGCCCCTCGCATGGCAGTCGTTGATGGTGTTTGGCGCTCAATAGCAACACCTTTTAAGCTGTGGTTAATTTATTCAAGAAATAATCATTTTGTATCTTTATTTGAAATGCCTCCAGTTTTTTTAAAGTAAAAAATATGAATATTACCATATGTATTTCATTTTGTCCCTGAATTCTGGACTTGGACTTGGTAGTTGGTGCAATTCATTCAAACCAATCCCTACCTAGTACCTTGACCTACCACCTGCAATGAAAATTATTGCAATATGAAAGTGAGATCTTGGGCTTTTCATGAATGAGTTGTAACTCAATTTATGTCTTTCTCTTTTTCAGTTCTGAAGCTCAGCTCACCAGTGGATGCCAGAAGATGCAAACAAGAAGTTGTATTTTTTGGATTCCACTTCCAGGTACCTATAGCTGTCAAGTGTCGAGCAGCCCAGTATTGCCCCATGGGTATATACGAGTACTGCCTTGGCCCCATGCAGGTATGTGCTGTTCAGTCAGCATGAGTTTATTATTCACATGCTAATGATAAATTAAAAGGAATGTCTGAATTGAACAGTGAATGCAAGCAGCTGTTGCGAATTGCCACTAAATAAACTAGACATTACCCACATTTATTTTTTATAGAAATAATTATTGTACACTTCCAGCTACCTAATGTCAAATTTGATGTTGTAACTGTGTTAGATGTGAAAACATACTTGTTTGTCTTGTCAGTTTGGCTCATATTTAATTCATTTTTATCACAAAAGGACATTTCTACCTCAGATTCATGCAGTACTGCAGCTTAAATGACTGCTTAATGTGTTATCTGTCCATTCCATGCACACTGCACAGACATTATCTGTTCAAAAAGTTAAATATCTCTGTTTTGTCTTATCTTTCAGTATTCCTAAGGATCATCAGGAAAGTAAGGAGTGGCGAGGAAGAGGCTGTTCTACCCTGGTCAGACACACAGCAAAGCTGACACAGCCAGCAGAGCTCTGCAACAGCAATGGGTCTGCTACCACTTGGTTGAAAGCATCCTGGCTTCTGGAACGATAAGACTGGGCTGCAGCAGCAGCTGCAGCTCTGTTGGCGCTGTTGGTTGACGAGTGACAGTCTAAGTCGGCCTCGGTTGTCGGCTAAAGGTAGTGTGGTGATGGCTGCAATGTCTGATGGCGTCTGTGTGAAAGCACATGCTTATAGCAGAGAAGAACTTTGTTTCACACAACGCTGTATGTTAAAAGTGAATTGTTATACGGTGCATTTCTAGATATCTCGGTCAGTGTATTTGATGGTGTATTTTCTCTCGCTGCTTGCCTCGGATTCCGCATCGTTCATTGTGAGCCGTGAGGGTATAGCTAGGTAGCGGCGATTCGCCACTGTGCACATGATTAACAGGGCCAGCTGCGTGTGCTGCATTGTTGGGGTTCGTCGTCTGTTGTTTGGCACTGCATAAATATTTGGTCAGCTCAGCTGTGGCCATTGGTTGGGAAAGCTGGCCTGCAGGGACGATTGCCGGACGGTACATGGTGGTCTGTCGGTTGCTGGGACTGAGTCGGGCCGACTGGGTGCTGCGAGACGCGGACGTAATGTCTACTACAGACCTACACAATGCTTTTAAGGCCAAAAATGTTAATGTAGGCACTTTATGTAAACCTCCGTAAAAATCATTTGACGCAAGGCTGGTTCGTTATAAGACGGCGAAAATCGAGCGGGTTATTTGTGTATACTTATCCCCTTTCTGAATGATTGTAGCGATTGTAGCGAGAGTCAGTGTGGTCGACTATGCTTGAGGCTGTGAGACACGGTAGCTGGTGTGGTCGATGGAGGGGGGGGGGGGGGGGGTGGCAGCAGGAGGACGAGACTGAACGGGAGACGTTTGATGTGAAATGCCTTATGCCGTAGTATCAAATTGTATCCACTAGTGACTTTGCTTGCTATCGCTGCGCATGGAAATGATGATAAAATTTGAAAACGATTGGTGTTTTTCCCGAGTCGATTGGACGTCTAGAAGCTGAAAAGGGCAAATTAGGTCATGCCAGGTCACGAAGGGTCATGGCAGGTCACTATGAACCCCTCAGGTCACATTAGGTCAGGTCAGGTCACTTCAGGTCATCATTGGTCATGACAGGTTACTGGGACCCCTTAGGTTACGATAGGTCGGGTCAGGTCACGATGGGTCATGCAAGGTCACAGAGGTCGCCTCAGGTCACGATTGGTCATGTCAGGTCACAGAGGTCATCTCAGTTCACGATATCAATTGTTTGTTCGTTCTTCTCACTTCCATGCGAAAATCCCCACTGACCCATCTAAAATATCATTTTCCCCATTGCCATAACATTACAAGCCGACACTGCAGTGTCCTCTTAGGAGGGGTCCTGCAAGCTGTCAAGGGCATGACAGCCACTAAAAACCCTGGATGCTAATAAGAAGACGGTCCAATCTTTCATTTGAGACCCTTTGTGACATCTAACTCGCATTCAACAACTCGTACGAGTCCGTCAAAAATGCTCGTTTTAACATGGGAAGGCATTAGCGAGTCTATGATGTCGACTGTGGTTGGCCGCCGGGCCGCTTTACGTATCTAGCGAGCGGGTTTTACACAGGGCTGTCCTATCTAGTCTTTATATCTATGGGTTAGACGGACAGAAGACCTGGAAAATTGGCCCTTACTGGAAATTCAGAGAGCAGCAGAACTCGGAAGAAAGAGGCGGAGCGAAGACGGCAACTCCAGAGACAGCCCGAGGCAGATGGAGCTCCAGCAAAACTTTGAGGATTTTGAGGACAGGGGAGTTCAGTTCGGGAAGGAGGACGCTGGGCAGCAGTTGAGTTCGGTTCTGGGGGCAGTTCAGCTCGGTTGGAGTGCAGTTGGGTTCAGGAGACAGTTCAGTTCCGGGAGAGGATTCACAGAGACAGTTCAGTGGAGGCAGGTGGACGCGGTCGGAGCAGACAGGATGGAGGAGATAGTTCGAGGACATTGAGCTGGAGTGGAGAGGAGAGCTCGGGAGGAGAAGGTGGCGGCTGCAGTCCCGGAGGAGATGGGAGGACTACGCTGGAGGACCCTGCGCCGCTCTGCCGCCCGCTCGCCGTCGCTTCGCCGCTCTGCCGCCCGCCCGCCGCCTACCGCCGCCGACTCTGCCGCCCGCCCGCCGTCGCCCGCCCGCCGTCGCCCGCCCGCCGCCAAATCTGCTGCCTGCCCTGCCGTCAGCCCTGTCGTCATCAGCCAACAGCTAACCGGTAGGTCGGCACTGGAGGTGTTAAGCTGCTCTCCTATCGTAATCCTTCCCCAATGTGCCCCGCCTGCCGCCCCGGCTTCTCTCTCGCCCCGGGGATGTAATCATATTTAGGTCTAAAGGAGGGGGGGGGGGGTTTCTCGTGTATATGTGTGAGCATGTGTGATTGTTGAATGACTGGATGGGTGTTCCGACCGCGGGCTACTGAAAATGTGGTATTCAGGTCAAATTCACAATTTTTAGTAATATCTAGATTGTATTCGAAAAGGGGGGGGGGGGTCTTGATAGAGTACGTGGGCTAGTATTATGAATGCGTGCGTGTCAGAGTGAGACTCTTGAGATTAATTTTGGCTATCATCCATGTTAGCGGAGCTAGAGGTTTCTTCAGTACTTCTACAGTGGATGGCTGCGTTCAGCCTTACTATTCAGCTGTTTCCTCTATGTTCAGGTGGTAGGACTAGGCAAATCCGCCCTGTGCAGTGATTGATTAGTTTCTAAGTGGGTTAGATTTTCTTTTTTACGCTGGATTTCTAGCCCGTAGGCCGTAGGTACTGCTTCGTCAAGTGGTGCAGCTAGTGAATGGTTCGAACTAGCTTTTGTTTTAGGAAATTCGGTCGTTTCATTTTTTTTCTTCGGTTTGGTTGAATATATCTTGGGAAAGTACTTAAATTTGTTGGGGATATTTGGGAGGGAAACATGAATGGATTAACTTGACGAGACGAAAGTGCAGAAGGAGAGAATGAGAGAATTCGGACTACGGAGAGAATGGGAGGGCCGAGCAGAACACCGTTTCTGACACCGTCCACACGTCGGCATGTTTTTTTTTTCGGAACACCGGCACCGGTGGGAGGTCACACTACATCATACTGGGTTGTTGTTGTCCTCGTGGTTGTTATTTGATAGAGCTCTGATTCGAGACTGCGTCAGTAGTACTGTCAGGTTTTCTTTTTTCGTAATTATGTGGCCGGATTTATTATTTAATTATTCAGCACGATTTAGTATTTATCACGATATTTTATTACTTAGCACGATGGGATTCAATTAATTTTGATGTAGTGCAAATCGACGTACGTTGCAGTATATACTCGATCGCTTCAATGTCCGGTAAACGTTGTTTATTTCTCACTATCTGCGAATTAGCGTAACGATAAGTTTTGAGCGTTTTAGCCCCAGAAATCCATGCGTAACTTCATTCAGTATGTAGCGTAACTCAGTGCTGAACGACGAGTGTCTTCTAGGTTTCAGGGTTGGTAAATATGCGAAAGAAAACCACAAGTCATTAACGACCAACAAATTTTCATTTCCGAAATTGTCATTTCCGGCGGGTTGAGTGCCCCAGCTGGAGCAAAAGCCAGCCAAATTTGATGTAAATTAATGTAAACCCGAGATGAGCTTAGTAACTTGATGAATCAGTTGTGATTTGAATTATACTTTAGTGGCCGGCATTTTTCCGCTCCACTTTCATTTAATCGAAATGTGACCTACATGTGAAATTAACATGCTCTACCTAGCAGTTAACGTTACCTGGTTTGTATTTCCGGCAATATACCCCATAATCATCATTTGATTTCACGATTCTGATCGAGTGTGGCCAGAACGATTTTGCTAAGCTTTATTTTAAATTTGCACGAAGGCCGCTCATTATCTCCGACAATTAACGACGATATCAATACCGTTTATGAACGATTTAAATGTCCCTGCCCGCGCCGTCCGGACCCATCAGCCGGCTGCGGCGGCCGACCCGGCTAATCCCCAGGAATGTGTGTGAATGAGGGGGTGTCCCGCTCGTGGGGAGGGGTTACCTGGCGGCTGATCAGACGGTGACCCGCCGGCGCGCCGGCGGTGGGGGGGCCGGCGCCGGTCGAGAGAAGCGGCCATCTTTGGGCACCCGGTCGGTCCCGGCCGCCGGTCCTGCGGCGGCTAGAGCAATTAACGCGTGCCACTGGCCGTCCAGCGCGGGTTCACAGGGAAACTGGGATGGGGCGCTAGGTCCGACGGCGGCACACGATCACTCGACGCGGTGGTAGAGCACCGACTGAAGACGGAGTATGGATGCGACGCGTGTAAGAATGTGATCTATCGACATTCCATCTTTCCTATCAGTCTTCTCCGAGTGATCGTTAATGCAGTCTCTGAGTGTCGGCCAGTCGCTCTGTCGGCTTGTCGGCCTGTCAGTCCGTCAGTTTGCCGTTCACGGTCTGATGGTCTGTTGGTTTGATGGTACGTCGGTCTGTCAGTAGGGCGGTCTGTCTGTCTGTCTGTCTGTCTGTATGTATGTCTTTCTCTCTTCTCTCTCTCTCTCTCCCTTCTCCCTCTCTCCCTCTCACTTTCTTTCTCTCTCTCTCTCTCTCTCTCTCTCTCTCTCTCTCTCTCTCTCTCTCTCTCTCTCTCTCTCTCTCTCTCTCTCTCTCTCTCTCTCTCTCTCTCTTTCTCTCTCTCTCACTTTCTCACTTTCTCCCTCTCTCTCTCTCTCTCTCTCCCCCCTCTCTCCCCCCCCTCTCTCTCTCCCTCTCTCCCTCTCTCTCTCCTCTCTCTCTCTCTCTCTCTCTCTCTCTCTCTCTCTCTCTCTCTCTCTCTCTCTCTCCCATTCATGGCCCCCAACACGCATTTCATGTCGTCAGTTGGCAATCCGATGATTGTGTCGTTGGGTCTGCTGCGTATATGACGTCACGGAGGAGGTGCTGTCTCGGGACGCGTGGGGAGGACGGGCCCCCAACCCGCGGGCGCGGCGACGCCCGGGCCGGACGGGCTCGGCCGTGCTAATGATAAGGGGATCGGCGGGTGACCCTCGCTGCTCGCACCGCGCTGGGGTGCGGGATGACAATGGCTGAGCCGAACCCGCAGTCAGAGGTGACCTGTGGCCCACTGAGAGCGGCTGTCACTACACGGACCGCCGAGTCAT